CAATCCTTCCATGTGGTTGTGTACCTTCATTATTACCTTGATCTCCTTTATCTCCCATTTCTTCCCCTCTACTGGATTGTTTCTATTAGCAGTCTAACCTCTCTCTCCTGGTCCGCCATCTGCTTCCAAACACCACTCCGTTTTTCTTTCTTACAAAATAAAAAAAATTTCTGAAAACTACTTTTTGTCCTCACCTCCTATTCTCCCCTCCTTAGACTTTTATTCTCCCATTCCCACATTGATAAGAAACAATTCTTATTAAGGTTGCCTGTGTAGACATCTGTGAAGTCAGACTCTGGATTTTCCTGTCTTGCCTGGCAGCTCTTTCTCAGCCCCTTTTCTGGCTCCTCCACACAACTCTTGCTGTTCTCCAAGCTTTGGCTCAGTTCTCCTCTCTTTTCTACCTGCACTCTCAAACCTAACATGTCCTAAGGAGAACTAATCATTTCTCCTAGTCTCCCAATTCATTCTTCCCAGAGTTGCTTCCATCACTGTAAGTGGTATCTTCATTTTCCCAAATGCTCACATGCATCCAGCAGAAAGTCCTCGGTGTATCAGAATGATGCTCTAACCCAGTGGTAGGCAAACTCATTAGTCCACAGAGCCAAATATCAACAGTACAACGATTGAAATTTCTTTTGAGAGAGCCACATTTTTTAAACTTAAACTTCTTCTAATGCACTTCTTCAAAATAGACTCGCCCAGGCTGTGGTATTTTGTGGAAGAGCCACCCTCAAGGGGCCAAAGAGCCGCATGTGGCTTGCGAGTCATAGTTTGCCGGCCATGGCTCTAACCAACTGAGCTACCTGGCCAGATCCTATCAAAAAATCCTACAGATACTTACAAAACATGTCTTGAATCCAGTTAATGCTATACCCTCGACCAAGTGACCACCATTCAGCTTGGATTAGTCGGACAGTCTTCCAATCAGTCTCAGAACTTCCTCTTTCTCATCCTAGCACATTCTCCACACAGTAGTCTGTGATTTTCCTAGAATGAAAACTGGGCTCTATGACTTCTCTTCTCAAAACCTTTTAAACGGTGTCTCACCACCCTCTGTAATAAAACCCAGCTCCTTTTCTGATACACAGGATGCACAGTGTGTGGTATCTGCCTACCAATTGTCATCTCTGTCATTTTCTCTCGTCTTCATTCCAATTTAAGTGCTGTGATTGTTTTTCTTTGCCTCAAGCACACCCAGCTTGCTGCCAGCTTAGGATGTTTGAACTTACACTTGGAATATTCTTCCCCCATACATTTGGGTAGATGTGCCCTCCTACGAAGGGCCTAGATCATGTGAGTTTTCCTAGAGAGTCCTGTGCTTTATCTACGAATTCAATTGTCTCTCCTCACCCTCTGTCATTCTCCACCACAACTTTCTACATTTACACAGAGCAACACCATGATTAGGACCTGAAATTATTTATTCATTTGTCCCCACTGGAATATAAGCTCCTTTTTTTAAAAAATATATTTTATTGATTTTTTATTGTACATAGAAGAAGGGAGAGGGATAGAAAGTCAGAAACATTGATGAGAGAGAAACATCGATCAGCTGCCTCCTGCATACCCTTTATTGGGGATGTGCCTGCAACCAAGGTACATGCCCTTGACCAGAACTGAACCCAGGACTCTTCAGTCCGCAGGCCAATGCTCTATCCACTAAGCCAAACTGGTTTCGACGGAATATAAGCTCTTTTGAAGGCAGAGACTTTGGCTATCTGACACACTGCTGTACCCCTCCCCCCATTATCTGAGACAGCGCCAAACATTGATCCAGTAGTGAGTATTCCACAAATGTTTGTTAACGGACTTATTACCCCATCTCTGTTTTTTGTTGTTGTTGTTGTTTTGTTTTGTTTTTTTGGGGAGGTGTCACTTTACCTCTTCTGATCTAATTTTCTTCAATATTAAACTTGGGGGGAAAAAATCCCTTCTGGTTTGGCCCACCACAATGACTATGTCTTAGAACTTTATAGCAATTACAGAAAAAGTCTTGTCACACCAAAGACTTGTGTCTATGTAGAACATTCACTCATTCAACACGCCTTTCTTGAGTGCTGACGTTAAATCTAGGCATTAGAGGCCAAGTCCCAGCCATGGAGATGATAGTGCATCAACTTTAGCAAACATATAAACATAGAAAACCCAGGAGGCTGATGCCAGCTCAGTTCTCCAGGTGTTTTTTTTTGACAGATACTACACTTTCAGGGCAGCTTTCTCAATACTCCTTAGTTTATCTACGCCGGGCTCTGTCTAAGCTAACGTTATTGCTCTTACAGTAGTTAATTTCCAAGCATTCTAGGATTAAGTGATATAATTTATGTGGATATAACTTTAATAAAAACCATGTAAAACTTAGCTATTAAGGCTGCAGAATTTCTGCAAAACTGATTTAGTTCTAATCCAAACTCTGCCATGCTTCCTAATTGAATTACAGCATGACTTGAAATAAAAATGTGAATTTCATGAATCTAATTTCTTTAAAAAATGAGTAAAACAAGACTAATAAGGGATTCTATATACATTTAGGTCATGATATGCAGAAGGACTGCTAATTCTGTTGTTAAATTTGGGCTGATTTAAAATCTGAATTGGAATGAGACAGTATTTAATCAAATGTCTAGAATGAAGAGAAACCACATTCAGAACTGACTACAGAGAATAAAAAATGACTAAGAAGAGTGAATTGTTATATATTGTGCTAACTGTCATTTGTTGGCATATGCTGTAACTCACTCAGAGAAGGCAATGTCCTCTAATATCTGCTTTAACCAATTACATAAAGGGATATAGGAGAGTTGGAGAATGTTTTAATCTTGTATATGAACCCTGTATTTAAAGCCTTATATTGGTCAAAATGTTTTGGTTGGGAAGACAGAAATCCAATTTAAATTTACATAACAAAAAAGAGAGCATTTATTCTTTCATGTAACTGGGCAAGCCAGGACTGGACTAACACAATGTCATCAGAGAATTCCTTTCTTGCCAATCAGAGGCTCTGTTTCTGGTGGAGCAATGTCCACTAAGCAGCTCAGCCTTCATATCCTATCAGCTTCTCAAGCCCACAAACAGTCCTTTTCAGTCGCTACAATAGAGAAATCCAAGGGAAGATCCTGATTGGCCTGTTTGGAAACAGACTCACCAAATATATTTAAAGGCTTTCAAGCGCCTAGAATGATTATGCTTTTCTCCTTCAAAACTGTTGTTCCTGCAACGAGCTGATTTTCGGCTAAATTTCAGGAGCCTGTAATCTGATTAGATGGATTCACCTTAAAGTATTTACTAAGATAGCTTTATCATTTGTAATCTACATGAACTGCAGATGGGTACAAGGACAAAATAAGAAAAGGAATTTAAGGTGGTGTGAATGAAGACAGTTTTAAGAAGGTATAAGAAATCCAACCAATGTACAAGAGGTTATATGTTTGTTTGTTTTTTTCATATGCGAGGCATCTGGACATCTCTGCCCTACCTGCCCACACCATTTGTAACTGCAAATATTTGGAGTTATATTGGGGGATGCGGTGCAAGTGGTATGCCCTTGGTTTAAGTAATAAGGGGTGCACTGTCTGTAGAGAACAAAAAGGCAATGGTAAAACTAAGTCAGCTTGCCTTACCTTTTTTTTTAATAATATATTTTATTGATTTTTCATAGAGAGGAAGAGGGAGGGATAGAGAGCCAAAAAATCGATGAGAGAGAAACATCGACCAGCCACCTCCTGCACACCCCCCACAGGGGATGTGCCCGCAACCAATGCACATGCCCCCAACCGGAATCGAACCCCTCCAATCTGCAGACCGACGCTCCATCCACTGAGCTAAACCATTTTTGGCAACTTGCCTTACTTTTATTATCATGTACAGAAATTCCAAACAATGTCAGTGATATAATATCCTTTCCCACCTCGATGGATCAGTCCTGGTGTTCCTGCATCCTTTGAGGTTTTATCTGTCAATACTTCCATCTCCCCATTCAAGACATCAGAATAGAAGTCAGAGCTCTGGTATCTTATTTTTCACAGCTATTGATACCTGACTAGGAGAAGTAATGTGTTGGTAACTTGCACCATAAGAAAAAGAGTGAACTATATAACTCCAAGAAGTATGAATTAAAAGACTGTGCTTCACAAAATGGATGATAATTAACATCAAAATGTGATATAAATAGTAAATATAAGCTTGGATTACAAAATAATAGGATTAGCCCCCCCAAATTAATTCAACAGGAAGTCTGTTCTGGCAGAGTAATTCACTTGTCAGCTGAGCATAAGACACTTGTAACAAATAGCTGAATCATGCTAAATGACTGTTAAACTAATTTAAGTGCAAGCATATGAATTTGATTTGGACCAGAGGCTGTGTCATTTCCCTCATGACCAAATAAATCCTGCCCCTGCATGGAGTATCATTGCTGGTCCAGCAGGTGGCACTCTTCTCTTTGTGCACTGGTACCGAACTAACCACTTGCCCAATACATGGTAGTTCAGAGCCTTGTCTTCAGAGGAATATATAGAGTCTGTTTATCTACGGCAATAATATGGTTATAAGTTTTACCAGGGCAATTGCACTGGTCTGATCTTTGTCAGGTTTGGTGACTAGTGTCTAAATATCTCAGTACCCCTTTGGTTCTAGAGTTTGCCATCCTTAGTCCTAAGCCTCCATTGGCTTTTGCTAAAATACATGGATTCTGTGTCTAAAGTCTTATGCAATGCTAGAGATCTATACAAAATTGTAATGATTTATGTTTGAATAGTACGTTGAGCAAAAACAATGTTTCTCCATTTTTTTTTTAAAAAAGAAATCTATCTTTTTCTAATAAAACTTTCACATACCTCCAGAGCTCCTGAAAGCTTCCCCTCAAGAACCACTGATGAGCAGAAGTTGGAGTCCATCTGTACATGTTATCCCTAGGAAACGTTTTATCCAGCTTAGTTTTCTATAGTTTGTATTATGAAAATACACAATTTATGTCTTTCAAATGTCATTTAAATAGGTACCTATTTTTCCTTTTTGAAATTGGTCCTCGTGCCTTTCCTCCTGTTAAGTGTGATTTGCTGGTCACAAAACAAAGGTACTATAATAAGCATAAGAATAAAAGGCAAGCCGAAACCGGTTTGGCTTAGTGGATAGAGCGTTGGCCTGTGGACTGAGAGGTCCTGGGTTCGATTCCAGTTGAGGGCATGTACCTTGGTTGTGGGCACATTCACAGTGGGGGTTGTGCAGAAGGCAGCTTATCTGATAGATGTTTCTCTCTCGTCGATGTTTCTAGCTCTCTGTCCCCCTCTCTTCCTCTCTGTAAAAAATCAATAAAATATATTTAAACAAAAGAATAAAAGGCAAACAAACATGGCTATCTTAATAAAATAGTTACAGTTAAACAGTCACCTTTTCATCTATTACTTCTTTTGATGCTAGCTTCACTTAGAGAACAAATGTATGTACTAGGCATAGTAATGCATATCCAGTGTATTACATATATACTCTAATTTTCACAGATACTCATTTTAAAATAAGGAATATAAGGCTTAGAAAATTTATATTATTTCCTCAAATTATGTGGCAGGTTAGTATTAAAATGAGACTGGAGGTTCTAAAGCTTACACCCCTGAGAAAGACAGAACATATTAGATTATCATAACAGTCTTGCTAATAATTGAATTTCCTTCACTAAAAAAATAATTATAAAATGACTTTAAAATGTTAACCTGCTTTGTACAATAGCCTATAAAATATACTGTTGATAAGGTGAGGCGTTCTTTAACAACTGTACAAAGAGAAGAAAGGAAGAGAGTATTAAAGAAAGATGGGAGGGTGCCACTGACTAATTTAATTGATTTTACACTTTCTCTGTGGTTAGCACAATTTTCAAAGGAGATAGTCCAATAAAGAACATAGGAAAATATGTGTTAAAAAGCAAAACGTGTCTAATCTTCAATGTGTGCCATAGTAAATGGGTCAATGTCTTTAATAAATAGAAAGCTCTTCCAAATCAATAAGAATAAGAAATCAATAGAAGAATGAAAAAGTACAAGAACAGCTAATTCACAAAGGAACTTGTATAGCCAGAAAGCCCACAGAGGAAAATAATGAATCTTTCTCATTAAGAATTTCAAAATTAAACAATAGAATGTGATACCTATTTCAACTCCCAAATTGTCAAATATTAAAAGGAATGAAAATAATGATAAGAAAATAATAAAAGATATGAAAATGTTCAATGTGATTCAGAAATGGGAAAAGACATGTATACATTACTGGTAGATAAGTGAATTAAGTTACATTTATACCCTCATAGACTTGGATCTAGATATTTATTTAAATGGAAATATACAAAATGAAAACATTATCACACAAATTACAGAATATATATAGTATGAGTTTTTGAAAATAATTGTAAATAAGTTTATATATAATTATAAATTATAATTGCATATATGTAAATCTCTAGGAATCTAAACAAACTTGGGGATTATCTAAAGATACTGAATTGATATTGAGATTTGGGTGATTTTCCCCATTTTTTCTTTTTGTTTATCAATAGTTTCTAATTCTCTATAGTAAAACCTAGATTACTTATGCAAATAAACAAAAGCAAGATTTATAAAAGAAGTAGTATGGTGCTTAAGAAGATGAGCTCTGGAGTCAGATAAGTCCAGTTATAGGTGACTTTGATAAATCCTTTAAACTTCTTAACCTTGGTTTCCTCACCTGTAAAATGATGATGGTAGTGCCTACTTTAGTGGGTTTCTGGGCAGATTAAATTAGATAACTATGTGACTTATCAACTAATCATGTAATTACAAAGTTCCTACTACTATATTATGGGGCAGTACAAGTACTTGGGGAAGTTTTAAAAAGTTTGAGATTGTACCTCTTTTGTGGGCAGTTAAATAGACAAGGTCACTAACTGCCCAAATAGACAGATGTCACTGACTCCAATGAGAACAAGGGATTCATGGTTCCATGTCATGCAAAGGAATCCCAAAATACAAATTTTAAAGGTACTAGATGGCTATTTAACTCATTTGTTTCCTTTATAAAAGGTAACCTAAATGGATGAGTTTCATGCTATATGAATATACCTCAATTAAGATGTTAAAAAGGTAATTATTTTAGTACTAGAGGCCCGATGCACGAATATTTGTGCAAGAATGGGCCTTTCTTCCTGTAGCTGCTGGCACTGCCTTCACTTTGGCCTGGGGGGAGCTGCCTTTCTGCCCCTGGCTGCTCCTCGCCTGTATATGCAAATTAATCGCTATCTTTGTTGAGTTAATTTGCACACTCACTCCTGATTGGCTGGTGGTCATCGCAAAGGTATGGTCAATTTGCATTTTTCTCTTTTATTAGTGTAGATGTGTTATTTACCTGAAAGAAATGATCTTAAGAATATTTTAGGAAATATTCCTAAAATTGCATAGAAAATTTTCTAAACTAGCTGATTTGAGTCATATGAAGTTGAATCTGGTTCATAAAGTTGTTGAATTGCTTGGAGACTAATTTTTAGTGTGTGATTAATAAAATGATGCCCACATAGGATTTGCAAATGTTAAATACGATGACTAAAATAATGAATTCCTTAATTTTTTTTCTGTAAAGCGATTGGGGGAAACTGCTTTATTTGTTTGGGCAAAAAAAAAGAGAACAGATGTTCTTTCTTAATGATTTTCAAGGTCCAATCAAAATTCCACTCTCTCTAAAAAAATTACTTCTTTGACCACTCTTGTGCTTACTTATAATAACAACCCTAGCTTCCACTTATGGAATACTATGCCCGCAGGAGTGCCTCATAGACCTGATCAAATTCAATTTTGATAACAGCTCAGGGGGTATTAGCTCCATTTAACAGATAAGGAGACTTAGAGAGGTAAGTTGAGCAACTTGACCAGGTCCAAGGGCTATTAAGTTATCAAGTTAGGATTCGAAGCTGGCTGTTGGGTTACAAAGCTTGTTAATACCTCACCATACAAATCCTTCCTTTCACCCTGTTCCATCTGTGAATGCTGCAAATGAGCAAAGAATGATGAATCAGAATACTCAGCCTTCTCCCAGAGTGTTCCTATCAAAAGGTGACAAGCTAAAACTATATTTGGGCAGAAGACCCAAATAATCATAATCATAATAAAACAGTATTCTGAGGCACACTTATAGCAATTTACATAATAAAATAAAACTACTCTGAGGAGATGTGCTTAATTCTTAGAGCCATTATTGAGAAAAGAATTGAACACTGAATAGTTGAAATCATTGCATATGCAGCTATTTGGGAATGCTCTTTAGTCATTTGAGAGCACAGCTTTTACTGAGTCCAGAGTTTTACATTTTATGTTTCCCTCATTCACTTATTCAATGGTTATTTCCTGAGTACCTTTTATGTGCCAGGAGCTGTTCTAGACATTTGAGATAACCAGAGGACATAATGAATAAAAATCCTTGCCCCTAAAGGAAAAAAAAAAAAAAAAAGAATAAAGAAAAACAAACAAAAGAAACAGCATCAACAAAGATAATCCCTGACCTTATGGAGTTTCTGTCTCAGGAGGGAGAGACGGAGAAAGAAATATACGTCAGGTGATGCTACATAGAAATGTGAAGAGTGAGGATTAGAGAAATGAGGGCTGGTGTTTAACCAAAGCCTGTCTGAGGTGTTAGCATTTTAGTGGAGATTTAAAATAAGTGAGACTTAGAGAGTGAACCATGTGAATATCTAAAGGAAGAGCAGAGAAAAATGGCCACTGTGGATTTAGTGGAGCAAAAGGGCCACTGGGGCTGGAACAGAGGGAGGGAGGGGAGAGCTGTCCGGGGTGAGGGGAGAGAAGAATTTGGGCCTGCTGTCAGTGATAGACTTTGTGGCTTTTTCTCTGAAGAAAGGAGAAGTGTGAGGAGGCTATTGTAATTATCCAGGTGAGAAATTATGAGGGTGATAACAGTGGAGGGAATGACGTATGGTTGGACATTGAAGGGACTGTAAAAGGACAGATGACCCTTGAACAGCGAGGGGATTAGGGCATCAACTCTCCCAAAAGAAAATTCATGGATGACTTTTGACTCCCTGAATGCTCACTATCCGCAGGGGATTGTTTCCAGGATCCCCGTGGATACCAAAACCGAGGAGTCTGAAAGGGGGGTATATCGAAGTCTGACTGTATACTTACTGAAAAACAACTACATATAAAAGGATCTTTGAGGTTCAAACACACGTTATTTAAGGGCCAGCTGTAGAACTGAGAGGATAATATGGACGGATTGGAATGTTGGGTGTGAAATACTGGGTATGAAGAGTGAGAGATCTTTGTGTTGAAATCCTAGAGGATTAACTTCCTTCCAAGTCTCCCTCAGGCCTGGCTCTTGGGTACACAGACCATTTGACCTTGGAGGTGAAGTCAACAGGAGTCATTAAGACTGAGTGGTAGCTCTTGGGCCCGAGCTGGTTTGTCCTTCGGAGGGGCTGCCTAGCTACATGGTGGCTGTGGGAAAAGCACAGATGCCCTTCCTAAGGAACTGCTTCCAGTTGGTCAAGGAGAGGAGCTGAACCTAGAGGCGCAAGAACAGACTGACCAAGTCCTCAGGAATTTCAGGGCTGGGAGCACATTGTGGAACCCAGCCCTGGGTTGCCCTAAGATTTTCCTTCCTTCTTCCCTCCCTCTTCGCTTCCTCGTTTCTTCCCTCCCTCTCTCCCTTCCCTTCTTTTTCTTCATTCCCCACTCTCTCCTTGGCCCAGCTTCTTGCCTGCAGGAAGGTGCAAGTTACACTTGGTTCTCACACTCCAGCAGGTGTCAGAATTACCTGGAGTGCCCTGAAACACACAGATTGCTGGGCCCCACTCCCAGAGTGTCTAATCGTGTGTGTGTGTGTGTGTGTGTGTGTGTGTGTGTGTGTGTGTGTGTGAGGCCGAGAGGGAGTTGAAATTTTGCATTTCTACAATGGGAAGAAAAAAAATAGGAGACATATGTACTACTATTTGTAATACTTTGGACAACAAAATAAAATAAAAAAGGGGAAAACACAACTTTTTCATCTCTCACAAGTTCTTCGGGGATGCTTGGGAAGGACCCTTGCTCCTGGTATCAGAGGGTGAGCAAAGCCATGAGTCTAGAGCTCCGCCTGGTGAGAAGTGCGTGGCCAGGTTCCTCCTCACAGGCGTTTTCCGGGAAACGGTGCACTCACCCCAAGGTGTTCCCGGGCCGCCCCGAACCGCTAGGAACAAGAGGCAGAAGTCAGCCAAAGGGAAGGCCGGGGAAGCTCTTCCAGACCAGACATCCATCCCCCGGGGCCTCGGCGGCGGCGGAGGGCGGGCCGGCTCCCAGCTCCCGGAGGGCGCGGGCCGGAGGAGGAGGCGGAGGCGTCCCCGAAGGCGGCGCCTGTCGGAGGAAGTTGGCCCTTTAACTGGTGCCGAGCCCCTGGCCGGCCCGTCGCACCGCCGACAGCAGCGAGCAGCGGGCGCCAGCGGAGCCGGGAGCCGAACGCGCCGCCGGGGGAGCTCAGCCCCGCGCCCCGCAGCCATGGGCGCCGCGGCCTCCAGCCAGCTGGACGAGGGCAAGTGCGCCTACATCCGAGGTACGCCGCCCGCCGGGGACCCCGGGACCGGGAGGGCCGCCCGGGCACCGGCCCCCGAGGGGGGAGCCCCGGCTGGCACGCCCCGCTCCCTACCTGGGGTGCGCGGGGGTCCCCAGGTTCCACCCAGCGCGGTGGGCTTGGGTGGTGTGATGGGTAGCGGCGGGGATGCTGGGGACGGGCCGCTGCAGGGCGGGGAGAGGCAGGTGCAGGCTGCGGGGAGGGGCAGCACCTCCTTTCCTCCGAGGGGACCCCTCTGGGGTTCTGGTCTGGCCCCCTCGGCCCAGAAACACCTGTCCCTCCTGGCCCAGGACTCCTTCCTCCTGAGCTCTTTAGGAACTTGAAACGCGGGGATATCCCTGGTCTCTAGACATCCCCCTGGGGATTCCCGGCCCCCGGAGCAGAATTTCCCTCCCGGTCCTGCTGGCCTGGTGTTCTCAAACTGCGGCCTTGGCCACAGTTTCACTTGAACTTCAGAGCGGCCAAAGGAGGGATGATTTCATCAGAGGCAGCGAAGACAGTGCCTCTGTGCGCCCAGGTTGTAGGGTTCCTTCCTTTCCCTCCCCGGAGAACTTGGGGGGAAAGCAAAAGAGGAACACGAATATGTTTTGTAACTGTTGCTAAAGTCACCGAGAAGGAGCAGAAACTCACTGGGAGAGAATGTCAGAGGTGTGGTGACTCAGAAAAGAGTGTGAGGCTGAAGGGGGGGAGGAGGGGGGAGCCTTAACTGAAGTGAAACTGCAGGAAATCATGACTCTTATCTCCTGGGCGTACTTGGCCTCTCTGTCTTCCCTCCCCACAACCTTGCCCGCAGCCACCACCTGACATTTGGTTATCTTGTGAGTTGGTTGTTTCTCTGGTTTTAGAAATAGCTTCTAAATTGGGCTCGAGACTCTGGCCTGAAACCCTATGTCTGTTAAGAAATGGGTGCAGTTCTTCCTGATACTTCTCTCTGGCCCTCTAAATCTTTTTTTTTTCTAAGAAGAAAGCACATAGTTAAGGTTCTTAATCTATATTTGCTGTTAGCCACCACAACGCTTAAACGCTTTTGAAAAGGATATCCAGTCGGGGCACTGGAATGGATTCTGCAGACTCCTGCTCTGGTGTTTTTGGAGCTAGAAGGTCACCCACAATCCATACTGTCAGTGGATAAAATGTGGTCAAGCATCTCTGGGATGCTGTTTATTTAAAATGGGGGAAAGATGGATGGCTTGTTAAGAGAGCTAAACCAAGCCTACCTTAATCTTACACATGTGGCTATCGGATTGTTTATTTGTATGTGTGTGTGTGTGTGTTTGTTTTGTTTTTACCAGTGTGCAGGGGACTGAAGGAACCATGTAGAACACAGTGTGAAGGAGCTTGTGTTGAGTTATTAGCAAAACGTGTTTATGGCACTTATTTTATATGATTTTATCTCACCGAAAAGCTGACAAACACCGAACGCTGAAGCATGGCCTTCGACCGTAATCATTGGAAGGCCAGCCAAGAGAGAGAGGGATCATATTGCTTGAAGAAGACCTCAGGGTCGTGGTTACTGTTGATGCAGACACTGTACTTGGTGTGATAAGAAAACGTGTTACCTTTTTAATTCTGAAATGAGATTATGACACTGGAGAGATAGGAGAGATAGTGCCCGGGAAAAACTTTAGTGGGATGCTGACTGCTTCCTCTTAGTCTTGTTCAATTTCATCTCCTCATTCTTTGTTAGGGAGGGAACTCTGAAGGTATGTAGGGAAGAGAAGAGTTAACTTCAGAATACCTCCAGGGGAAATGAGACATTGCCTCACTGGAGCATCCAAGTCTGGCCAAAGAAGAAAAGTGCATTAGAAAAAAATGCATGGTGTTGGGAATTGTTCTTGTGTGAGCAAACGAAGGTCACCTGGCTGGGATTTTCCTGATCGCTTTGAAGCTCTCCATCCCTTAGAAAACTGCCTTCTCGGCTTTGCCCATTCTTTAGCCATTTCTCAAGCTATGATTGAACTGTGAGCAGAATGATTGAAAGCATGACAGTAAAAATTAAACACATTTTTATGACCCATTGCTCATCAAGTAGCTGCCAGTGAAATATTACATATAGATTGGAAAACTTGTATTGCCTAGACAATACGTTTCTTTCAAGCTTGATAAACTTGCTCACCTATGGAGAGTAAATAGAATATTCGGAATGAGTTTTGTTGACTTCATCTTGCGTGCGTTAGAAACAGCTGTCTGCATCAGCATTTGCTTGCGGGTGAATCACTGAACTGGCTGCTATTGGGTGTGTGTGCCTCCCCATTGTGTGTGAAAAGTGATCTTTGTCACATGGATGGTTTGAAAGTTCATTATTTCTTAGGATTTAAGGGATGTCTGGGTAAAGGGGTATCAGAAGTGTCAAAGACTTACTTCATTTCTAACGATGCTAGTTTTGAAAATTACTTCCACATTCACATTGCCAGCAACAAAATAAGTTTTCAGAATTGTTTCTAGAAGACGTTCAGTCATTTCCCTAGATAAGATGTTTTTACTAATAAATAATAGAGATCAACTCATAAGCACATGGTCAATGTTATTTGTTAGCTTTCAGGGAATGTCCTAAAAATGTCTTCTTTGGTGAGAAAGAAAGCTCAGACAATTGAGGTATCAGTAGTGGCCAATTTAAGACAATTCTCTCTTTTTATGTCTTATTTCTTTTTTCCTCTTAAACTTTTGGTATGCATAAAAGTGAGCTATAGCTTCAAAAACAGAATATTTTCCTGTTTAAGCATTCTTTCTTTCCTTTTAAAAATTACCATTGAATTGTTAATATTGAAAACTCTTCCACATAAGTCTTACAGAGAGTGAGAAAGTACTGGAAAATCAGCTGAGAACCATGGGTTGGTAGGCACTTCTAGGCCTGGTAGCAGCAAACAGCAGTTAGGAAAACTGTTCTTTTCTTAGACATGTACAGTAAGAGTTAGCTTAGGTGGCTGTATAAGAAACTATTTAGCCCTAACTGGTTTGGCTCAGTGGATAGAGCATCCGCCTGAGGACTGAAAGGCTCCAGGTTCAATTCCAGTTAAGGGCATGTACCTTGGTTGTGGGCACATCCCAAGTGGGAGGTGTGCAGGAGGCAGCTGATCAATGTCTCTCCCATTGATGTTTCTAACTCTCTATTCCTCTCTCTTCTTCTATAAAAAAAACCAATAAAATATATTACAGAAAGAAACTATTCAGATAACAGTATCCAGGGTGAAGTCTTCCTGGACCAGGTTAGTGAAAGGTAGGAGAGCTGTACATGTTTGCAGGCTTCTCAGCGGAGGTGTGTAGTGCCAGTCCACATAGTTGCTTATTCTTCCGTCAGGATTTGTTAGAAGGAGATGGGCATAGATCTGGTCTGATTTAGCTGGTAATGATGACAAAGTTATCTTAGAGTTTAATTTATCTGGCTAGTAACTGCAGTAGGAAGTGGGCAGTGATTATAACATTAGTATTTGTTTCAGTTCCTAATTTGTAGAAAGGAATGGGTTCTCCTAAGAAATGAGTGATTGCAGTTGCCCTGATGGCAATAGCAAGGATGGAAGAAAGAAGGAGCAGATCCAGTATAAATAACACACAAACGTAGATTGATCACATTATCTTTTGATAAAAATTTTTAAAAAAAATGCCTTCAGCCATAGCCAGTTTGACTCAGTGGATAGAATGTCTGCTTGTGAACTGGAGGGTCCTGGGTTCAATTCCCACCAAGAGCACATGCTGAGATTGTGTGTTCAATCCCCGGTAGGTGGTATACAGGAGGCAGCCTCTCAAGGATTCCCTCTTATCTTGATGTTTTTATCTCTCTTTCCCTCTCACTTCCTCTCTGAAATCAATAAAAAAAAAGTATATATATTTTTAAAAAATGCCTCCAAGCCTGCCAGCCTAACCGATGAAGCTAGTAGGAATTTTAAATTAGGAACATGACTGCAAGTTGGGATTTCTAGTAGCAATTAATTACTTTCGACCACCTTTAGATTTTGTGAATAGAAACTAAGACTTTGGGAATTTAGTGTGAATTGAGAATTTCTTAGATTCAACAGAAATAAAGACACTATCTGAGACACGTTCACATTTTCTCCTGTGCTTGTGGAAGAAACAGTGACCTTCCTTCTTGGGTCCCCATTTATGCTTTGATAAACTCATGGAGACAAATGTTAAATCAATATGTGGCCCGGCTGGTGTGGGTCAGTGGTTGAGCGTTGACCTATAAACTAGGAGATCAGTTGGATTCCTGGTCAAGGCTCATGCCTGGGGTGTAGGCTGGATCCCCAGTGTGGGGTGTGCAGGAGGCAGCCAATCAGTGATTCTCTCTCATCATTGATGTTTCTATTCCTCTTCTCCACTCTCTTCCTCTTTGAAATAAATGATAAAAATATATATTTTTTAAAAGATCTGCTCAATGAACCACTTCTTTTTTCTATGGCAATTGGCTATATTATCAAGGGTGCTTTAAATAATAGTTAGTCCTGACATGGCAATAGTGATTTTAATGTTTTTCATTTTTAAGATTACTTTTGCTGGACTACTGAACTGATGGTAGTGTTACTCCTGCTGTGATCTTTGGGTCCCACCTAGAAAGTGCCACAGCAGGAGCTCAATCAGTAACAGTCGTTTCTAATAGAACTAAAATAAACGCGCACTGTGAAAGTTTTACAAAATATGTGGTGTGAACTTTGATGGTGAATTTTAATCTCCTAATCAGAAATTGTAATTTATTTTGTCAGCGAAGCTGGGTGATACCATTTAAAGAGACAAGGTACATACAGCAGTTTGCACTGTGAATGGGACATGAAGTCAGAAGTGAAGATAAAAGAATAATGGAAAGGAAGACAAAAGAATAAAAGAGTATAACTCATCTGTTACAGTCTGTTTAAAGCACTTGAGTAAAACTTAGGACTTGAGAGAGAAAATGCTAACATTTGCAAACTGAACTACACACACACCACCACCACCACCACCACCACCACCAAACAAAACTCCAAATGCAATACAGATTTTCTCCTTTGAAA